TGAGTAACAGTAGGTGGACATTAGGTAAGGCTGCACTTTTTGCACCGATCTCGTATAGAAAACTATTCCTCGCTTATATAAAACAGGTCCACGGCTCCGAACCGTAGTAAAGGCACCTCTGGCTAATACGTTGGGTTCCGTTTCGGGCTCATAGCCAAAAACTAGCTTTACTTTGTTGTCTGGGTCAACTTTGCTAGCGAGAGATAAAGAGAGGCATAGAAAGGCTGCTCCAACGGAACTTATTGTTTCAGAGGAAAACACACGAACACAGTGTACAGTCAAGTCTTAATAGCTTACTTACAACTGGGCTTGTCAGACACTCTTTTTAGCTGCAGTGGTTATTATTATATTTACATGCTTCCATCTCCCATTTCTGGTCGGTGACAGCTCTACTTTTCCACTCTCCTTTTCTCCCCAACACTGGCTCTAGTGAGCAGCAGCATCAGCAGATCTCCAGTCCAATAGAGAGCAGGTATCAGAGACAGTAGATGTGACTCTTTACCAATAATCATTTGCCAAACTCTTTGTTTGTATATATTTCAAAATTAGGAACTTCTTGTCTTCTTGTCCATTAGTCCATGAGACTCAGTGATTGTGATAGATTTAGCCTTTAGAGAAAAGATGAAATCATGGCCACTAGGAGCACAAGGACTTTGTGAGTGTCTTTCTCTGTCAACAAACTGCTTTACAGCTACAGTTTTGTAACAGTAGGTTCTTTTTATGTCACATATATAAATATACACAGTGAAAGACTTAGCAGGCATAAAAGCGATACAAGTGAAGATAAAGATATTGCTGACAACAGCCTGAAGTCACTACGTGACTCATGTTTTCCTCTGTGTCACTGTTCTGACCTCTTCATCTTTGCTCCGATAGAGGAGGAGTGTGTGATCATCGAGCCTGAGCTCAGAGCAGCGGTACCTGCAGCTGAGGAGTGTCACTCTCCCTCACAGAGCACCGAGGAGGTGGCCAACTCTCTCCTCCACCTGGGCTGTGTCAACAACAACAATGCTCCAACTGTGGCCATTCAGCAGACTGTTGCTATGGAGACCGAGAAGGATGTCACATTGGCCATTACACAGGGTGAAGAAGTAAAGGAAGAGCAGGAGAAGGACACAAACGAGGGAGAAGAGGAAGATGAGGAGGTGGCACATGGAGTTCAAGCACTGAAGGAATCATCTGCTCTGCAGCAGGAGGCAGCTGATGTGGAGGATGAGCAAGGGGAGCACGAAGATATGAGCAACCACATGAGCCCACAGCATCTGACTAAAAGTGACCAGTGTGAACAGTTCATAGGTAAAGACAATGAAAAAGAAAAGATAGTAGTGCCAATGCAGCAGAGGCAGGGCACTTCAGCAGATGAGGAGGAGCACAGGGATGTTTTGCCCATTTCTGATGTGCCAACTGCCATCCGCATCATCACCAGCACCGCAGCAGCTCAGGGAACACACATGGCTGAAGACCACAGGGCCAGTCCTCTGGAGGACTACAACTCATGCGGGGCAAGTCCCTTTGAGAACAGAGCCAGTCCACAAGACAGCTCTCTTAAGGCTAGCTCAATTCAGAACTATAAGGCCAGCCCTCCTTTAAGCTACAGCTCCCACAGGGCCAGTCCACTGGAGGACTACTTTCCCATTCCCAGAGGGGAGAACTACAAAATCCACAAAGCTTCATCCTCAGCCTCTCCTGACATTATCGAGGTACGATCCGATAAGTCAGAGGACAAAGACTTTGACGATGTGGATGGAGATGACGAGCGCGATGATGAAGACAGCCTGTCGCAGCGCTCGGCAGTGACGGACGAGTCAGAGATGTTCGACATGACCCGAGGGAACCTGGGCCTGCTAGAGCAAGCCATTGCCCTGAAGGCAGAGCAGGTGAAGCCAGCAGGACCCAGAGAGCTGCTCCGCACACCAGATATCCACCACCAGCGGTACTTCACCATGGAGGACAGGCCCAAGCACCTGGACGTCATCCGCAAGAGCTATTTCAGCAAAGGTATGAATTAGTAACCAGGGGAGAACAGAGCTACAACATGTACTGAGAGGGTATTGTGAAAGTTGCCTGAGGGAGACAGCACATCAGCCACATTTAGTCCGTTTCTTTTTATATGTATATATTTGGTTTTTTTTTAAGCTATATTAGCTGCACATGGTATTATTCCTCATCCAACAATGTTTTATAGGTTTACCGGGAAAATTTACATTTTCCCCGTTCTATGAAATTTTTCTGAAAACCCCAACACAACTTCTATGTGATGCACTGAGCACGTCTTCTGCACCCACCTGTTTTTATTCACCTTAAAAACAGAATGGTCCTGTGTTCTTGTAAATCTTGGCATCACTTTGTGTCTGCCCACAGTTAATACAGTGGAAGAGCACCTATATGTCATAGGCTTTAAGTACTTTACTCTGAACAGAGCTGGACTGATAATCTACTGCAGTATGTTTCTCACAGGCTATAATGTGTGCAAAACAGTATGTAATCAAAGTAACTAAGTTTGACTAATACAATTCTTAGTGAAACTAGACCCAGATGTCATTAGCATTTGACAGGAAGAATCAGCTGGCACGTTTTCATCCAGGCCTTAAAAAAAGCCTAATGAACATTTGCTATTTTTGTTTAACCTCTACACAAACCAGCAGTTTTCTGCCGCAAAAAAACCAAAAAGGCAAAAGAGGCAAGTGCCAGAATTTGACAGTTTTTTTGACACTTTTGTTAGGTTAGCTAGCTTTAAGGGGGCAGTTACCCCCTGGTAAATTTATCCTTATATTAAAAATACAAGCCAAAGGTGCTCTTTCATTATTTTCTCTAATACTCTGCAAGACAGCAAGTGCTTTTTTAAATACCACAACGATATAAGAGGACTACAACCAATAACGGAGCACACAGAAAATGATGTTCTGAAGTTTTGGCAAATGTGCTAAACGTTTTGTTGGGAGCAGAGGGTACAAATAAACACAGTGTACCAAATAAGAGATGAGTCACAGAGCTCTGTTTGGATCCTCCCTTTTCTATTGTAATGGGGTTGAAGTGGTTCCAGCTGAATAGACTTCCATGAAGAGCTGGGAGGAAGTACTCAAAGAGGGAGCGAGAAGGGATGACAGCATGCGAGAGAGCACAGGAGAGACAACAACATATCAACAGAGAAAAAGGAGGAGTGCAGGTTGTTCCACAGTCAGCCATGGAGTGTTTGTTTACATGCTACGTGTGTTCGGGCCTTGTATTACACAGTTGGCACGCTGCCCGCTTGTCATGCTTCTCACAGTATAGCAGCAGTGTGATTACATGCCCGGTAGTGCTGCCCTCTCCTTGGCCTTAACTCCCTCCTGCGGTGACGTTCCTGTTCTGCTCGACGCTAATTAGGAGATGCGTGTCTCGTTAACATTCAATTTGAAGGCCAATAGAGCATCACACCATCCTCTTGCACCCTTCTCCTCTCTCCAGTGCCACTGATACTGCCTGGCCTGCCTCCAATAGGAGAGGGGAGGAGCAGGCATCTTTAATTATGTGTAAATTATACAGTGGTGCGAATTTCTTCTGATGTATTGTAAGGTGCTGCTTTGTCCAAGATCTAAACAAGGTCTTTGAAAGTGTTGTGCAAATGTAGCCATGGGGGGGATTATCCAGCTCAACAGGATAAGATGGTGTAGTTTATCATTTTTATAGTATTTTATCTTTAAAAGTATTTAAATAAACATTTAGACAAATGCATGGAATACCTGGTGTATTTACAGGCATGTATAAGCCATGAGTCGAGGGATACAGATGGTGTGGGTTTTGTGCAGATGTTGGGAATATGTCTGGATTTCATGCTCAGCCAAGCACACTGTCTGATGACATTAACCTCTTGCTTTTGTGCACCTTATTCGTCCCACCTTCCCCTTTCATTTTACTTGGCCTTCCATCTTCCTGTCCTCCTTTCCTTTTTCTTCTACGTTCCTATCCAACTCTGACCCAGAGAGCAGCAGGCCAGAGAAGAGGGAGAACAAGTGTCCCACACCGGGATGTGATGGCACTGGTCACGTGACCGGTCTTTACCCCCACCACCGCAGCCTGTCAGGCTGTCCGCACAAGGACAGGATCCCCCCAGAGAGTGAGGTTTTGTTGTTGTTCTTTGTTATTTCAGCTGCTTAGCATAAAAAAATAGTTAAACAGTGTAATTGTTGTGCCATGAGGTTTTCTGAGGTCTCGGGAGCCACCGATTCCATGATTTGTTATATATGTTTGGAAGAAACCAGTCCTTTGATTTGCATTGGTCAAATGCTGTGAAATTCAGTCAAAGAAATGCCCTCAAATACGTAATTTAATTCTAATTTTATTCTATTATTGGGAATTTTGGGGTTATACAATACAGTCTGTGCAGCTGTGTATTCAAATCTATTTTTGCAGGAAGACCAAAAATATTAATATGAGAAATAAAAACAAATTTAATAATAAGCAAATCCCACTTCAGTGATTTTCATTTTCTGAGTTTTCTCTGATCACGTGATTGTGCATCTTGTCAGTTCTGGCCATGCATGAAAACGTGCTGAAGTGTCCGACTCCTGGCTGCACAGGTCAGGGCCACGTCAACAGCAACCGCAACACACACCGCAGGTATATTTATATACATTGCACCTTTATACTG